TCAATAAATAAATATAATATGACGAATATAGAACAATTTAAATTTGTAATTGGATTGCTCTTTGATTAACGGTATTTTTAATTTTTTAAATATTATATGTACCTTATACATAACATATTAATTATACCGGTTGTATCTTATGTCACTGTACTCGAGGTTATTTAACAATATAATGGAGCGATGAGATGGGATCTCGAAAAAAAACAAAAAAATCATTTTTTCTTTTTTTTAACAAGAAGTTTTTTTATAACAATTTCAACATTTTTGAACATTCAGTTGTTCCCACAGTAAAATCAACTTTATTTATTCAAATAATGACAATTATAATATTTTTTTAATGGATTCAAGTAAATCTTTTTTTCTGAAAATTTTTCTAGTAAATTCTTCAATTTTGGTTCACTAGTTTATGAATTATAGTTCTCTAAGCTTTAGTTAATGCACTAATACTTTGAATTAACATAATTGTTAAACATTTTACTTATTTGCTATTTTGTTTTCTTTCAACTATTTTTTGATTCACTAAAATTGGTCATCGAACGAGACACGCTTAAAAAAATTTGGGAGAAATACCTACGAAATTGTTGACAATCATAATTCAATATATTAATTTTAACATATAATCATCAAAATAAGTTACACCAATGGGGACATTTGTCCCCGAATGGGCAAATATTGATCTATTTAGGGAGCGGCCGTGGCACCGCTTTAACACGGTGTAGTATTGTATCAAAGCATAGAATATAATTAATATTATTTTAATAAAACCCTGGTTGTAGATGGACAACCATGACTTAACCATGAAGAATTATGTGCTAAGAAAAATCAAAAATGTGGATTTATTTTTTGGTTGTTGGAGGGGGGGGGGGGTAAAATTATGATTGGCCCAGGTCGCCAAAATTGTAAATACGGCCCTGGCTTTACACTTTTTTATCACAGTTACATTTCTTGCAAAAGCAAAAATGTATATTCTTAATTCTTTAATATGTGGCTAAGTTAATAATGGTATAATGGAGTTCAATTATTGACATTATAATATGTTTTTGTATGGGGGTCAAAAAAAAAAAAATTTGTGTAATGAAAAAATGTTTTTTGTTTTCTTCCCGTAGTGATATAAACTTGGAATTTAAACCATAGTTTCCCTATAACCACCTTGCATGCAAAGTCTGATTTTAGGAGTTAAAATACATCCTTTTTTGTCTCTTTCGTATGCTTACTACAAAATTTTATTTTATAACGTTTTTATTATAAATTTACAATACTTACTTGTTGATAAAAAAAAAATAATCTTCAAAATCAGGACATATTTATTATCTTATGTTTTTCCAAAAAGAGAGAATTTTTTTTTATATTAATAATGGAAATCTGTAATTTTAAGTACCAACCTATAATAATATTGAATATTTATGAAAATATATGGTGAACTTCATTATAGCTTCACGTGGGAATTAAACTAATTTAAAAAATAATATTAGGTAAGTACTTGCCTGAAGATATGAAAATTACTAATTAGAGTGAGACCAATAACGACAGTATTGAGAGTTCATTTCTGCAGAATTGGAAAATGACAATTCGTCACTAAAAACTTTTTTTTACCTCCATACATAAGACATATTAATGTCAATAATCGAACTCTATTATACCATCATTACCTGTACCCCGTACAATGACATAAGATACACCCTGTATATTTTATAGTGTATAGATAACCATACGTTTTTGAGCAAATCGTAAGGGCATGAGTTTTCTTTTAACGCTGACACATACCTCGAATTAATTGCTTACATTATAATATAGTAGGTACCTATTAAGATATTTAACCAGAATTGTATTTTCACGTTAGCCAGGATCTCCGAGTTCTAGGATTACGTAATAATAGTTTTGGTATTAAGGGGAAACCGCGCTATCGATAATAAACGTGATATACAACGACGGAAAGTAGTTACGTACCTATACCTCACCCAACGCTTACCTTTCGCCCAAAAGGTTGAAAAGGTAAGAAGTCCTTTACTGCCGAAAATAACGAAGCGCTCAAGGCGCAACTTTGAAACTGGTTACTGGTTAGTGATTGTCGCCGCTACCGAGACCGTGATCCAATTATGCTATAATTGGAACACATCGATGCCGCCGGCACTAGCTGACCCATATTTACGTAATAGTATGTATAGTCATACGTATTTCAGTAAATTCCCGAGGAACTCCCGTATTTAAACAGAATTTTTTCCCCAACGCACATCAAGCGCAAGCCCAAGAGCACAATTTCAACGAAAAAACAGGGGGTGCTGAAACCCTTTTAATATTGTGTGTGTAATTTTTCTTGTGAAGTTTCGTAGTAGCTGGCCAGCCGTGCACCGACGAATTTGAGGGTCTTTATACAATATCTTCTATTATTATTATTTCATATCTGCCCTCATATTATCATAGATGTATACGAGGTAATAGCTCAAATAGCTATTCCTATATATTGTTATATCGCCACAAATACAGCGATTTAATTATTATTATAATTTTGAGTTACCTACATTTGTCATTAGTTTCTTAAGCACACGCATCACCTACACACTAGTACTCACAGATCTTGCCCGGCTAACAAGTCCAATTTCTGCAGAGTACTAAACATATTATATACATACAAATTAAGGTCTCCACACACTGCAGCGGTAGCGGTAAAAGAGTCCGCGCACAATTTACCTCCACCATAGCGGCAACGCCAAGACAAAAGATTGGTTGCATTAGGCCTGTCGTCTGTCAGTGTGTGAGTATAGGTAGCGCAAGAAGCTAAAAAGGTAGGTAACCGGACATACAAACAGATTAGAGATTTGTTGTACTAACGACAAGTTAAGTGTAAAAATCTCATTAAATAATTATATTTAATAAAACTATAAAATAGAAAATAGAAATAATTTTTGCATATTAAATTTAAGAGGACGTCACATCCGCATGTGTTGTCTCCGTCTTACAAATGTACAACATAGCAAAAGCTGTTTTGCGTGGGACAACTTTTATCTTTCTGTGTTTGAGTGGCTCCAAAATTGTTGAACATAAACAGTAAAAAGTTATGTATGCAACAGCGTGCCTTTATTTTAGATAACATAAATACAATAAAAGTTATTTGATTCTAAATATTTTGTTTTTTTGTTCTTTTCATTTGCTTATCAAAAATGATTGGATAGTGTAATTAAAAAAAACAGACTGTTGCACAAATTAAGTTCTTCTTTGCGTATTGTGTACATTAGGTAGTTTTACAACGAATATGGTGCGAGAAAAGTTGTATCTCGCAAAACAGTTTTTGCTATGTTGTACATATAAGTTGCTTTCATTCATTCAAATTTCAACATATTTCAAAATTGTTTTTTTTCTCTGTATTATAAATAGATAACTCTACGAATGGAATATTTTCGAATTTTAAAAAATACTGTACTAGAATATCTGCATTATGTACCAAATTACAGCTACTGACTTTCCAATTAATTAACATACTGTAGCCTTTAATATACATAGTACCTATATTTATATATATATATATTCAATTTTGTATCTCATCAAAAAGTATATATTTTTTACTAAAACAATTGTTAAATTGTGAAATTATATTTTATAAAGGCTGTACCTATATATTATTGTATTTATATTAACTTGAATAAATTTAACATAAAATAATTCTATCTGATAATTAATACCAAGTTTAAAAGATTGGACTCTAGTAAAAGTTATGAAAAGTAAAATTTGGCTGGACCAGCAAAAGGGTCAGTATCATTTTTTAATTTTTTTTTTTTAATGAGCTTTTTGAATTACAATGATTAGCTTGACAATTATTGTAGTAAACATTGGACCAGTTAAACAGTTAACATTACAATATTAAATAAGGAAATCAGCTTTCAAAATAAATGATATTATTTTATCAATAACAAGTTCAGAGTTTGAGTTAAGAAGAGGGCAAAACCTCTTCGGGCCTGTGTTCAATAGTTTTGCACTTGGAATGCAATTTTTAAATTATTGGATTGAGCTCCTCTACTTAAGGTACCGTTGAAATCTTGTCAAATTCTGTCAAAAACTTCTGTTTTTAATTCTAACTATTTATATTAATAATCATCACATTTTTTATTCTGAAAAAATATAATTGTTATAATTTAGATTGCAATGATTATTATCATTTTCAAAAAGAGGGTAAGTGGATGTCTCCCTGCAATACAGTAGCTTACAAGTTTATAAGGTCCAATATATTAGATTTATATTATTTTGTTTTTAGCATTTAAACGGAAATGTTATTAATTCAATTAAAGCCAGGTGCATAAATTGCCGCAGTGTATGCATACCATATTTAATATGTTATATCTAAATTATAAGTTGTAAGTTTTAACTAAAATAAGCAGACATTTTATATAATAATGAACAATGGATATAGATTATGGACATGAGCTCAATTAAGGAGACTGAACCAGTGAAATAGCATGCCCTCAAAAAAGTATGAAAAGCCACCCCCTTTAAAAAAGTTATCCTCTGAACTCACATAACATTAAACCATAATGAATAAATAAATAAAAAGTGGGTAAGTTTTCTGGTGTATTTTTAACATATGTAACTGAATTATATATAAATTAATAATTATTTAGTTGAAATGTACACATTTATTTATTATATAATATTCTAATATCAATTATGGCCCAGGTTGTTATTTTTATTTTGGGACAAAATCTTTTTTTAGTTATTATAATATTTAAGCTTACCAGAAATAGCACTCAATAACTAATAAGAGTGAAGCATATATTATAATATATATATTTATGTATAAATGTATAATATAGTGTATTTATAAATCTATTGTTAAGTGCTTATTTTCTACATGTAGGTATGAATGGTCTTGGGAGTACTCTCATGAACATAAGTTCAACAAGTAGTTATTTACACACACACAAGTCAAACACAGATGAAACCCAATCAAAAGTCGTATTGATTATAAATGTATTAAATGTTTATTTGTTATCAATTCAGGTTGAATGTTTTAAAAATACAAATTAAAAGGTTTTAAAAAAGCAGTATAAATAATAATAATGTAAATGATATGTACTCTTGGTATGGCAAGTATGAATTCATAATTATTGAATTTATACATAAAAAACAAATCAATAACATAGAAAAGCTTAAAAAAATATTACATTGTTCAATTTTGCAAAAAAAAATTAAATAACTTGTTAATTATTGTTTATATAAAGCAAGAAAATTGAATATCACATGTCAAGTGAACTCTAGTTTTATATTTTCTTTTAAACACAAATTTACTAGTTTAGAACATTAATTAAACATCTACATTATATATCATAAAAAAAGGAGTATATTTATTAATTCAAAGAATTACTTTACTCAACTACTGTACTACTGTACTAAACAAATGGCATGGTGTAATTTTAAAGCAATCATACAATCTAATTGTGAGGAGTTTTTAAACAGAACAACTTAAACCTTTATACAAACAATAATTATGCAATAATTAGGGAGAATTTATTTTGAACGTATTACAATTTTAGTTCACAAAAATTTAAGACCCACTTAACAGATAAGTATAAAAATTCATAGTGACTTATTATGAATTACAAAAATGTAAAAGTTGTGTTGAATATTTTGCGCAAAGTGTGTAGCAATAGCTACTAAAATAACTTAGAATTAAATGGACGGATTATTGTTATTCTAGCTATAAAAAAAATATACATTAATTACCCTACAAATTTTTTTCCACAAATTCTCAATAACCTTTTATTTTTAGTCATAAGAAAAATTAAAAATCAATTATTGCTCATTTAATAATTAATAATTATGATGAAATTCATAGATTTTAAATTAAATACTTAAGATTTTTGTGTTCACAGGTTGTATATACCTATCCAATATCAATTGCACATTAAATTCAAAGAAAAATTTATAATTAATTTATTAGTATGTCAATAATTACATAAATGACCAAATTTCTTAGTAAAATATTTGTGTTTATTGCCTCCACAAGTACTTAAAAATATTAGCAGTAATTACATTATTACATTTTTCAATAAGGGGCATCAGAAATTTTGGTACGGACAGCTGCCCACCCTGCCATATGCAAGAACCGCCACTGCATTAAGAATAAATTAATGAAAAAGTAAAGAATTTGCTGATAGAGATTTGAGAATAAAAATTTGAATATTTATATGTCGGTGTGAGACAATTGTTTTATGTCATCTGCATCACAGTTGTAATTGGCTCTTTGAGTAGCCTTTTTTTGACGTTTAATTTTATGTACCCGTCCCTCTATTATATATAATACTCCACTGCAGTAAAGGGCAATAGTTCCTGCCACTCCTACTCCATAGCTCCATCCTATGTCATTGTGTTCCCAATCTGGCATCCATACTCTACTGTCTCCATCGATTCCAAATATTATCAGAGCAATGGTACTGCATACAGCTGAAAATAATATTTTTTAATCAATTATGAGGTATGTTATACAATATATATATAAGACAACATAACACAATGTCTTACCTGCAGCTATGTAAAGTATTCCAGCTGTGAATAGAATTTTAACATAACGTTCATAAGCTCTATTTAGATACATATAAAGTATAGAGTAGAATAAACCAAACACTGTTAAAAGAACACAAGTTGAAAACCAAAACTGAGTAGCAATATAAAAACCTAAGAAAAAAAATTGTACTAATTAAAATGTTTCTCACAAAAAAAAATATAAAACTTTATTTAGTATGGATGAAATGTAAAATAAAAAACAAATTTACAAACAAACCTTTGAATAAAACATCGTAGATAATATAATATTCTTCTTCGAACACCCACCAACAACTATGGAATTTTGTGTCGTACCAATGATGAGAGTCCTCAAATTCTTTAAAACATACTACCCATAAACCTGTGGATGAGAAAATAGTTTAACACATTGTAAATAAACACCTTATTTCATTCACTTTTGTTCATAGTTAGTGTAAAAATAACTTAACATTATTGATTTCAGTAACTTGAAACTATCATTATTCATCAATATTTCATTAAAATGCAGTTTTATTAATACTAATAAAAAAAACCAGCAAACTTGGATAGTATTATTATCACAATGCTTAATTAACCTAGAAACCTACTTGCAGATTATTTTTAAAAAAAAATTATGTTTATACCATTTTAACAATTAAAAAAAAAAATTTGAGATGTTGATGTCAGTCATTAAGTATCAAGGGAATGAAAATTATTATAATTAAGCAGAGGTAGAAGGTACTACCGATCTAGATGAGAAAACACAACATTTAGTTCGAGATACAAAAATCTGATTACAATAAAATGCACAGTGTTGTATTCTTTCCGGAGAACAGTTAATTATTTTCTAAGCATTTGGAATTCGCTCAATGTTCAAAAATATTAAAGTGTATAATATCCGTGCGCGTTATACTAACCGATCCTTTCGAATTTCGGGTGCTTTAATTTCCCATCCGTAACCAACCAGCTCTTCGTCATAAACGCCAACAGGACCAAAAACGCTCCCAAAACCGACAGGCCAACGGCAGTCAGGCCATTTCTAGACTTGGCCATGGAAATAACTGGTACTTCAAGACGCGGACTAAAGATTTAAGTTTTGAAACAAAAAATAAAACTATGAGTGTTCTACAGGAGTCTATGATCTCGGTGGCTTTGTAGACGCGGACACGAGCGTCTTAAGACAACGCTTATCAGCGCAATACTTTTACTCATCAGTATCACATTAACACAGGTTGCCTTATCACATAGTCAGTTATAATTGCATTTTAATTTTTGTAATTTTTTATACTTTATAACTTATATTTTAAAATATTAATTCTGAAAATGAAAATAAAAAAATATTTCTGAGACCGAATTTACAAATTATCTACTGATTCTTCAAGTGACGAATTACAGATGGTTTCAATTAAATTTGGTTCACCCTAAGGTAAGGATGACAATCTGATACAAAAAATGTAAAAAGATATTAATTTCAATAAAATTAATTGTTAACTAAAAGAAGAATAAAGAATCTTTTCGACACGTTAGTTAGTAAGTTAGTATTTAGTAGTTAGTTTTAGGTCTATGGGATAATCCGCAAATTCAAATTGAAATACAGTATTTCGATGTTTTTGATAACGGCCCGGTGCCAATAGATTATGCATAGATAATAAAAAGATGGATGGGACCATAGCCATATTATAATAGATTTTATTATTATATGTTAAATATTATATTATATTACATATTTAATTATATTATATGTCTATGGATGCGACGTCATCATAGATTGAGGTCACTATATTTTTGCAGTCGTGAAGTGATAACAAATTGAGGCCGTTTTTACATTATTGTATAATACGATTAAATACATAATATATATACGTGTATAGACTGATCGTTGATACACGTATAATTTGGCCTCAACCACAGGTATAGCTGATAATAAACTTGATGGCTAACTACTATACATTGCCAAGCAGGACGGGCGAAGCCACTGTTTCAACATAAAGGTTGTGGGCTTTGGTATTTTCTTAAGTCCGCCTATAATTGATAAATTAGGTTTGTAGGTTGATAACATCATACAAAGAGCACAAACAATACATTTTTTCGGCATCGGCTGTTATCACTAGTCAGCAATATAATGTATTATCTGTATCGGCTGTGCCTATAAACTACAGTGGACGGCGGCACAGCGCTGAGAAAGAGAGAAACTAGTGGACGAGGGAGAAAGAACTACGCCTTTGGGAATATACCTAGACATTGACGGAGCCGAGAGAGAAAGAGCCTTTGGGACGTTCCGGAGTTTTTTCGCTCACTCCATCTCGTCCCCGTTAACTGTCGGAAAGTGTCGGTGTAGTAAGCGCCGACCATTAATTTATGGGCACTGTTGTCTGTTACTGATAGGTACTTGACGAATCTTTGCAAAAAGCTGCGACTGTCACTTATTAACGCCACCAGACTGCTGCTATAGTAGTCGGCGCCGAGTCGTTGACGCAGTGACGTTATGTGCTGATGACCGACGACAATGAGGCTGGGGCTATGCACGGCGGATTCCGCGGCGTTTTCCGTCAAATTCCAAACGTATTAATTTATATCGGAGTAGTTATAGACGACAGATGTAATACGCCGCATTTTCATCCGCGGCGGAAAACGCCGGTCGGCTTGCGTTTTGGCGGACGAACGCCGAAGTAATAAAAACGCTCGACGGATCCGTTCTGTATAGCTCGTCCGTCGGAAAACTCCGCCGTGTATAGTCCCAGCCTAATTAAGAGGACTCTTCGCCCGCACGCGTTGTCTCTGTCTCACAAATGTACAACATGGCAAAAACTTGTTTGCGCGGGATAGAACCACTCACGTATGTAGTCCTGGTAGGGACATCAAAGGCTCATACAACATAGAAGATATATATATATAACATTTTCCGTGTCGTAGACTCGTAGATGTTTGATATCGTTGATAAGAAACAAGTTATAATACTTTTAAAAATCTGATATTATTACGTTTTCCAAACTTAAATAACTCTTGATATACTAACTGGTATTTTCGTAAAAATTAAAACTCTACGACACAGTTAAGGTTCGCTTCTATTGATGCTTAAAATTTGGTTTCTTGGTTAGGTATAAGTTGATAACTGAAGCTTTCTCGGTTCTTTCCCTCGCGAAACTGTTTTTCCTGTGTCTTACATTTGAAAGACGGATAAGGCATAATATGCGGGCGTAGGTTTATAAATTATAATAGTATTACAAATTAGTAATAAATTACAATATATTATTACATATATTATATTACTGATAAGTGTCAAGTGATAAAATTTTAATTTGCTTAGTATATAGTCGATAGGTACTCGATAGCATAGTGTTGTTTTTTTATACATTTCCAATTTCGATGGTTACAATACAATTTAATTACTATCAATTAAAATATATAAATAAATACCTAAAAGTCGTAATTTGTTTTAATAAAACTATTTTCATTTTAATAATAGTTAGATGTATTATTGTATGTACATCAACTGTAGGAAAGTAGGTGAGAAAAAAAATTATCATGTTATAAGCAGTAAAGGCCACCCACAAGTATGTTTCATTTAAATATTATATAGCCTCTCCAAGTCAAAAACTGAAATTGTACCTATGTTAATATAGTGTAGCTAGATAGTCTAATAGTGATGTATGCTATCCGGCTGTCATTTTTGGATGAAATCTATTGTGTATATTGCCTATATAACTATATAACTAATAAGTATCACTATTTACTGTCAGCGAGTAAAAAGGCATTGGTTAATATTGTAATGTTGATTGGCGCTATGTTCGGTGGCTGATAGTTTCGGGTTGCAGTGTTTACCACAAATATTAAAATGCATTACGATTGATGATTAACGTTCTACTACAACTACTCTGAATCTGAATTATCATTTATCATGCAGTTAATACTTACTAGTAATTATAATGAACTGTCATGGTTAATGCCAAATGGTTATTACAAAAATTAGCTACTACAAGTAAGCACATATTAATGATGTACAACAATTGAATTTTACTTCTAATTTAAAAAATAATTAAAATTCAATATGAACTTTTATCAATAAATGGTTTGCAAATACATGCAAATAATGACACATCGATACAATCATGGTTTAGTCTATTTTAGTATATTATTTTGCAAAAATGTAGTACAGTCAAACATAATATACATAATACAATCTATAATTTTTTCACATCTTTTTAAAGTTAAACTTATGTTGAAGAAGTACTTGAGATGGTACTTATTACTTTACTTTATTGCTGTGATGAGAAAGGGGTAAGCATGTGTGGTTTTAAATTATTGATTGATTATAATTTCTAAGTTGGTGTGATTTAAATATAAGATTAATTATAAAATAATAATGGACCAAAATATATATAAAAAAAGGTTACTTTACAATTTACAATTAATTTTTCATTTTAGATTCTGAGTGACTACCTTTTACAATGATGTGTGTGTGTGTGTGTGTTTCTTTTGTCTGATAACTTTTTTAGAGTATAAAAATGCATAATTTTTTAATTTTAACATCTTATACGTAAATTGTATGCATATATTATATACTAAGTATGAGAGTTTCTTTAAAACTATTGGTATAAAAACATTTTTTGTGCACATCATGTTGCATGTCTATATGTAAAAAGGTAAAGAGCGAGTCAGCTCAGAATCTAAAATGGGTGTTAGCTTACTTGGTGATTGGTGAACTATCTTAATATATAATATGGATTATAGTTTAATAAATGGGTAAATAATTATTAGTAAGTTAATTGAATATTTAAGTAATTGTTGTTTAAATTAGATTTTCTTAAATAAGAATGTCAAAAAATTCTTTTTTTGACTGACTTTCAAATAAAAATTTAAATTATGATATTCAACTTAAAGCCACTGAGAGTTATTCAATATATCAGTGAAATATATTTTGATTTAGTATGAAAAAAAAAAAAAATAATAGTATTGACATAGAATAATAACTTATAAGTATATTATAATGATATTATAATTTATAATATACCTTTTTTCAAAAATTATTTCAATTTCAAGAAATATTTTTAAGCATTAATTTTAAGTAGTTTGAAACTTTTATAAATTTTTTATCAAATTTCTTTAGTACTATGATATTCTGTATAGTGTTTGTGTATCTTTCTGCTGATAACATTGTTAATAAAATATCAGTTTTTGCAGAATAATGGTGTGTGAGTATATCCAATTTTCCAAAGTGTTCAATCAAGGTTGACGAGATCTGTAATATTGAATAAAATATTTTTTTTGATTATATTTATTATTGAGGCAATTATATTTATACTTAATATAACTTGTTTCAAAAGTAGATGTTGACGACGACTTTTCCTTACCCTTCTTTGTTTTTTTTTTGTGTTGACCATTTTCGGGTTTCAAGTTTGATGAGTTGAGCTTACTTGGTTCGCCTAAATTAATATAAGCATTTTAAAACATTTTGTTCATTTTAAATTTTGAAATTTATATCTCTTTAACTTTTTTAACTTATTATACCTGGAGATTTTTTCTTTAATTTGTTTCCCAAATCTATCTCTGAGTTCTCAGCCAAAATTGACCTTTAAATATTTAGGTATATTAAACATTAAAGAGTACACTATTTAAATACTATAACTAAATCTTTTTATTTAAATACCTAAATATAGCTGCAACAACACTAGAATTATCTTCATTCATTTTTTTGTTAAATATATCTGATAATTTATCAACTTGAGATGTTAACTGGTCCAATCTATTTGATAAAATCTGAAATTCAAACTATAATTAGTATTTTTCTAAGTTATAAATACATTTTATATTACTTGAAATTTAGCATTTGGGTCATCTGGCAGTCTATGAACAATAATTACCACAAGTTCTACATTGCAACAAATTTGTTCCTCTTCAGCATCGTAGATTATTTTGTTATTCTATAGATAAAATAATATAAATAGATAAATAAGAAAGTATTTGATCCTATAAACATTGAAAAATGACTGTCTAAAGTTGATAAAATCCGAATACTTAATTAGCTTTTATTGAAAGTAATTGAAATATTTTAAGACTAATGTATGAACCCAGATAGGTAATTATCTTATACTAAGTTTAATAATAGTTAATAAAGTAAATTCACTCTTATATTAAAGCTCAAGACACAAAATTAGTTGCAAATATACTGTTGTACATTTGTATAACAGGGCAACATGTGTAGGTGGAAATGCTATTAAATTATCAGAATATACAACAATATTTTTAACTTTTACAATTTAAAATTATTTACATCTTCAGTTATAATTTACTGAGCTACATTTATATCAATCTATTTCATGTGTCAAAGCAGTATTTAAAGTTGCAGAACATGTATAAATAGTTTCATTCTTTTTAAACTTAAAATATGAGAACATTTCAACGATTAGTTTCATTTACCACAAAATTATAATTAAAAATGAATAGCAACGATTTAAACGTAGTTATAATTATAATCCTAATATTAATCATATTATATAATATTATTTTATGAACTTTACCTTAAAAAATTCAAAGTCATCATCTGATTGTATTTCCATCTATAAAAATATTTTTTACTTTATACACTTGAATACAAAATATAAGTGGGATTTACCTATGCCAATTTCCAAGTAAAAATAAATTAAATACCTTTATATAATATGTTATTTTAACTAACGGTAAATAATTTAGAACTGGGGTAAAAGGCCATGTCATAGGAGGTCTGTGGTCCAAATCCAAATCATAGAGAGATTTAAATAAATTGACCCCAAAAATATTTTTAAAATTGTAATATGTTCTGACAATGCAAGTAGGTATAAACATTCAGTGAAAATTTCATGCATGCACATTCTCAGGAATATTTTTATACACAAAAAATTCAAGATTTTATTAAGGTGTTATTATATTATATTATAACTTGCTAAAAATTCTTCCTTGTATGTGTGCCTAGCGTACTCGCTTGTGTCATGTAACATTTTTTATTCCCCCACACATTATTTTAATTTTTAAGTTTGAAGCATTAAGTCCTAAGCCTGTTACAGCCATAGTGAAAATATGTGCGCCAACGAGTTGTAGCCCATCCTTGCCCCTTAGATACTAATTGTCGACCCCTATAATATTAGATTTATCTCACCATCTTTCCATCAGCTACTGGAAATAATACGACGATATCGTCTATTTCATCCAATTTTAATTCATTTTTCTATAAAATAATTAAAATCAAAGGTAGATTAATTAGATTGAAATCAATATGAATTAGTAAAATAAATCTTCGGTTAATAATATAATTTTGAATAAAAGTATTGATTTATTTACTTACCAGGCTTTCAACGAATCCAGGTAAATCTATTGGAGGTTTTATTTTCATTTCAAATAATTCTTTTTTACAGCGAATGTGAAATGAAACGAAATGTTCAGTCATGGTTAAGTGGTATAATATTATTATAAATGTATTATTTTAATTTTAATTAATTGATTAATTTAACTAAGACGAAAACTGATATCGATAGTAGGTACTTAATCATCAAAATGAACAAATCGGCATTCAATTTTAATTTTAAAAGTGAGAAAAGTCATAAGTTAAAAGTGTTCTATTACTTTATTATAATTATAATCATTGATTTGGCCGACGTCGCTGTATGATATCTACGGAGTCCGTTTCCGCGATGACAAATGATCGACAACACAAAAACAATAGTTGATTAAATATATGGATGGGGTGTACCATAAAGTAATTACTTTGGGCTGTACCACTACAGATAAAGATTGGATTAAATCTGTTTCATCTGTTCTGCTGTACCACAAACTAAAAAAATATAACTAGGTGTATAATATATGGCTGAATAACACGGTCTGACGCCGCGAGTCTGCGACGGCAATCCGAGTTCCGTCAAAAATCAATACTTAAGGGTGCAACAAAAATAACAGCTGTTAATGTTTACATCGTTATCATTTGTAAAAAGGCGTCGCCCTTTCCCACAATTTGAAATCCTGTTTGGCGGGATGAATTAATTTATTTGCAAACATCATTATAGTATTATTATTTTATTTAGTCATGATTTAATATTTTAATACACCTATATCTTAAATCATGGCTGTATTAAATAACTTAAAGATACATAATACCAAGCCAACGAGTCTAGACCGTTTGGCCGAATTCGGTGATTACGGTATTGCGACACCCGTGACTGTAACTCGGGTTTTAATATACGTATAGGTACAACCACTTTAACCAGGCTCGTTTCCATGTTCCTCCGAGTTTCAGTTTCAGACTTAAAATCACTGGTAAACCAAAACCTGAACACAACCAGACCAGTATCATATCTATATTGAATAGTGATGATATAGGAGGTATTGTAAGTCAATGGGTAGGTTATATAATTCCACATACTCATTAATTAATTAATTATGGATGATCTTTGGTGTTGTGTGCATGGATGTATAATAGAGAAATAGTGATAATAGTATAATACACTGCGTTCCACGATTATAGATAGTATACTATCTATAATCGTGCTGCGTTCTAAAGGCACCGTTAATATAGGTAACAGTAAACTCTATGTATATTATAATATATTATCAGACCTTAAACTCATAGGCCGAGCATTGTGTAGAAATGGTAGTCCCGCGGTCAATGTGTGTACCTCTGATCGTGTAGTTCCCATAGATCTTATACTAATTATACTTAGTTTTGTTTCTCACTTCTGCGCATGTGCACGGATGGCATCACTTTTCATAGTTGAAAACAAAAACAGCATAAATATGTAATTATCGTGTCGTATCATAATTTTCAAATGAATTTAACGAATAATTATGATTATACTTGTATCACTAGTAACTTGTCTGGTTTTTGATTTCAACGTTTTCATTATATTGACTTATTATGAGAATACACTACTCTGTGCCAGGGCCGTATTTACAATTTTTGCGCCCTGGGTCAACTATTATTTGCGTTGCAGTGCTAAGTTCACTAGGGTGGTGTCATAGTACAAATTCTTTCCAAAAAAAAATATTTATTGTTACAATACTACACCGGTCACCGGGTCACAGTGGTACCCGGCCGTCCACTAAATAGGACAATATTTCGCCGCCCGGATCAAATTTCCCCATTGCCCCCCCCCCCTAAATATGGCCCTGTTCAGTGCCGTAGCCTGCAGGGTTTTTTTCTGGTTGGTTTTTTTTCCGCGGATGCTACAATACTTAATACTACCGGGTGAAGTAAGTATGATATTAGAAGGGGGCTGAAGCCATTAAGCCCCCCTTAGTTACGGCACTGAGTCAGGTGCCAATTTATATCAGTATATCGTCAAGCCAAACCACGGACTGTAATCGTCTATAGACTTGGACGTTCAATGCCCAGTGATGACGATAAACATGGATATAAAGGTTTGGAAACAAGTAGCTTATCTAGTGGCCACGAATGTATGTACAAGAAAGTGTGGGAGGGGGGGGGGTCACAATTGGCACCGAGAGTTTACCTCTTGGTGCCAAATGTGAAGAACCTTTTAGTCATGGAAAAGAGATGAAAAGATTCTGTTGGCCGTCCGCCTACCATGACGTTTCCAGTCCGTGCACCAAATACAGATTTCCAGTGGTGTACACACAGCTGTTTCCAATGGAGGTAGTTTACACAGGACCTTTAATTCATGGAGGGGGGAGACCTATCAATTTGTAGACTAAATAAATTTTATTTAAATTACTGCTTAGCTTATACATAACTTTATGAAGGTACCTGTAATAATAAATTACCAAGCAATTTATCATACTTTTACAGAACTCAAACTTTTACACACAATTTTTTTTGTCAAAATTCTAACTTCAGACATTCATAGAAAATATATTAAGAATTTAAAAATGTCTTGACTTACCTAAAATTTAAGATTTCAACCAGAATCATTTATTCGGGTTTCGGGATATATTCGTGTGTTCAACACCGAAATAAAGAATTTAACGTTTGGGTTATAAAAACTGTTATTATACGGGTTAAGTTTATTGGATAATACATTGGTGTTGAGCAATCTAGAAAATATACAATTACTTAAATTTTATTGAGGGCTAAACCCCCACAAACAATTTCAAAAACTGATTTGTTGCTTATAATAAAATGTAAACTCGAATGTGCAACACTTGTTTGAGACCAAACACGCCTATAATTTATAATCTACAGTAGTTACATTTTTGTAAGAAACTATAAACACCAAAATAATGGGACCTACTTATTTTATTGGAGTCACTAGAGTCCTTGTCACTTATGTAAATCTAACTATGTACCTTAATGGTTAATCTTTTGTCGTATATTTTATAAGTTTCCATTTAATTATTTGTTTACAATTTTAAACATAGGTTTTAAGTATTGACCCAAATAACCAAACCTACAAATCAGTAACAACATTTTTTTAAAAATAATATTTGCACTTTAAAACATTTTATTTTAAGTAATGAATACAAATTTATTTTTTATTGGGTAGGATGCTAACTATGCATCTTTGACATATAATAGGTACAAAAACAGATATTTTACAATATATTAATACCACGTCTATATTAATTTAAATTGCTATTATCTATATTTGGAATTATATTATATATATAATATATAGACTAATAAAGTAATAAATTATACATAATTATGTTTATATTAAAATAAATAATTTATGATAAGGTGATTTGGCTTGATCGGAATCAAATATGAATGATTTTATTGGATTTTATTTGTATAAAAATATTTATTAAATTTACCAATAATTTATTGTAAAATTGTGCTTGTTAATACTATTTTTACTATTAAACAATTAACTATAAAATCGACTTACCACAAGAAATACATACAAATGATATATAAAATGCTTGCAAAACAGAATCATTCGGGTTATATGGGTTTCGGGTGTTTGATTTGATAAGAGTTTTTAAGGCTTCCAGTTAGTTTAGGTACAAAGCCTTGCTAAAAATTTTTCATTGTCGATAATTTAAAAAAAAAAATGAATGAAATTCGAAATTCGAAATTTTTTATGCCTATAAATAGCTTAAAAGTAGTCAAAATATTTTTTAATTTGTGCTGTTTAAAGCTGGGACGTTCCCCTCTTCAACGGGCGTTCGTCTCTCGAACCCTACGGATTTAAGTTCTGTTTATTTTTTCGAGGTCTCTGGGACTCAACCTCGGTGTGTAATATTAATACTAAGAAATCAGGATTACCTTATTGAAGTAAGCATATAGGTATAATATATATGAATATATAATAATATGGGCGCATGTAAATTCCGCCCGAAATGAACTACAGGTAAAATAAGGTACATGTAAATTCCGCCCGAAAAAATCTATTACTGTTAATAAACAAATTTCTGAATGTGTCTTATTAATCATATTATTACTGACATAACATAGATTAAATATTATAATTTAGAAGTGGGTATTTAAATAAATATATATTTCACATATTAAGTCAATAATTACAACATAAATCATGTATAATCGTAAGAATAGTAATAATTATAAAAGTAAATATAACAATTATAATATTATATTAAAATTAAATCATAATCAATAATTAGCACAATATAATATATAAAAGTATTAAAAATCGTAAAATAGTAAAAATTATAATATTAAATACGAGTCAAAATAAAATCATCATCTATAATTATTAATTAGCACATATTATTATAACTCGTGTATATTGTATAGCATATAAAATTGTTAAAAATTGTTAAAATAGTAATAATTATAATAATAAATACGAGTCAAAATATCACTTCCATACTATTTATTTTTTGTTCATGTTCGAACATTTTGTGACTTCCCAATACCATAAGTTATAACACGCGCCGCGTCGCGAAAAGTACGGTCGCGGCTTACAATCACGGAACGCTGAGTTTAAAAATATTTATTTTTCCGGGCGGAACTATTTTTGTACTTGTATATTTTTTCGGGCGGAATTTACATGTACCTTTTTTTACTTGGATATTTTTCTGGGCGGAATTTACCATAGACCTTGTTTTTACCTGTTCATTTCGGGCGGAATTCACAATCTCCCATTATATAATATAATATATGACAGATACATAAATATGAATGGTTTACCGATCTGGGTAGATGATGACGTGCTGTGAGTGTGGACGTTGATGGGGCCGTCGGATCGTCGCGGAGTCGATGTTGCTGTTATTGTTTCCGCGTCGTACACACTCTCCTCACACACTGCCACGGTCATAATTATGTACACCGCTGCCGTATGCCTAAAACCCTTGGTCAGCAGTCAGCTGCGATCGCTATTCCTCACACTCAGCATATTAGGCAGCGGGTGCCCTACTTAAGGAATAACGTACGATGCCGATAGACGGCAATCGTTACACAGCCAATACAAATATAAACATTCGGTGAAAAATTCCTGTATTGTAATTCTAAGTTTATTTTTATATATTGACAAAAAAATTAAGATTTTATTAAGGAGTTATTATATACGCATAACATTCTTTTTTGTGATAGTGTATCGCGTACTGTAATGTAACCTTTTTTATTTCTCCCTCCTCACAGACATTATTTTAATTTTATGTTTTAACACGTTACAAATAGGATTAGTGTTCCTACATTTTTAATTAAATATATCTTGCTGGTATATTAATAAATAATAATAATAGGCTACAAGTTGCAGGTTGTGTAATCAAACAGTGGCGGCTTCTGCTAAGGTCCGATGGTCAGACCCCACATTCTTACTACATTTTGAAATAAAATTATACTCTCAATTATACTTCTTAAAGTAATTAAATAAGAATTATGATGTTTTATATTTCTTTCTAAATAATTTAAATGATTCAGAATTTTATTGTAGAATAATTATATTTGAGGAAAAATATCATCTTAATCTGGCAATTATTCCAATGTCATAAGAATAATCTAAAAATTAAACAAAAGCTGAGCGACCAACGCCTGTAAGCTGTAACAGTTTAACGTGGGTCCCATCTTCAAGTGTACACTTATACTGTATATGGTGTGGTGGTCCGAGGTGCACG